ATTTACTATTTATTCAGGCATCCTTATGCTTGTTAGCGCTGCCCACATATTTTCCTGTCGATAGCTTTTTCAGAATCTACGAATATAAGATAGAGCAAGCTATAAAATTGGTTGCATTGTTCTATTATTAATCTCAAGTTGTTGGTATAATAAAAGCAGGAGTGATTAGAATGAATCCCAGCTTGTTCTTTGGGTAATTTTTGATCTAGTAGCATAAGGATACGATTTAACAATATTTTATTAATGATTTAGCACGCTGCAGGCAACAGAGTTATTCCATTTCCATATTTTATTTTGTACATATATTCCAATTGTGGCTGTCCTTCGTGTCGCCCTTTTTTGGAGTCTTAATTATAAAGCGCGATACGAAGGAGGTTTCTTTCCACACTTGAGGTACTTTTCCAGTGCGCCACATCTCTTTAAACAAATTAATTAGATTGTTAGCCGCAGCATTCACACCTGATTTAAAGAACTTCGCTTGAATATAATCAGTTCCTGCAGACTTCCCGTTATAGCTTGCATAATTTCTTCTGTTCTAGGATGATTTGTAGGTATACTTCTTAAAGTATATTAAAGATAAATTTTAATAAAATTTAAAAACATTAAGTACTTGTCTTCACACAGGAGAGTCGGCATTAATAAGTTGTATTTTAGCTTTATTACTTTCTTTAACTAGCGCCCAAAAGTTTGGTGTGAGCCATTCTTTATCTTCTCGTCTTGCTTTTCCGAAGGTGCTGCCCGCAGCAACATTTATACCCTGTTTGATTATCTTTCACAGTTGATCCACATTATTGTGACGCATATCATTAGTTTCTATCCACATAAAATTTTCTTTTACAGAGGTAGTAAAAAGTTCGTTAATGGTTACATTATTGAGCTTCATCATGTTATATTTCATATGTTTTACGACCGTTGGGAGCCTGTATGCCTTTATAAGTCTAAGCTTGACTTCAGCAACTAAGACAAAATGGCTGGATACTATTTCAGCGGTTCTAAACACTCGAATATTTTGAATACATTTGAAACTTCCCCTAATGCACTTGTAGTTAACCTGGCTACCTATCATGTTACGAGAATCATGTCACTTATAAGTCACACGGTGATGACACTTGTGGGGGGAAAGTGAACCACCCCCCTCCCCCACAAGTGGATTATGTTCTTCGATCATTTCTGCAAAGGCATTTTTGCTTGATAAAATACCTTTCAAATGTGTCGTTGACCTCTTTGCAAAAATGTTCTATATCTTCTATTTTAACTTTTTCTGTACACGCGTACCATTGCGCATTTGATATTTTCTCTATGTTCGTATTAAGTTGCGCTGTAATTATCCTCTGATACATGCGACATCAACAGATGGGGGCATTTCTAATATTTCTGTTTAGAAAGATAACAACACCACGTATTTGTGAGTCGTTTTTATTTGGCATACTATAGCATATAAGGCAGTCTCCATTTGTTGTCGTAAAATTTCTGTTTCCATACCATCGCATTTCACTAATGCGTAGAACCTTGTTTGACTGTGGCCGATAACTGAAGTTTTCCAGCTTGATATCCGGGGCAAAATTTACCTTGGGGTGTTTAGAGGTTGTCAACAAAAGATCAGTCCGCTTTATATTTTTTGTCTTTTATTAACGCGGTTCGTTGTTTTAATCGCAGTAGATTATTGGCCTAAGGCAACTTAAGACTGATGACAAGACTACTGTCTTATATTAAATTTTTAATATATTTTTGCTGCCAGTGGCCTTTAGACTTGCCTCCAACTCAGATTATATGATAAAAGCCGTGTCCTGCCCTTATGAGGTGGTGGGAGATAGATATTCTGCTTTCTACTCGGCCATCAGAGCATTGTATGTGGAAGCAGAGACTGCCACGAGCAGGTAAGGTTGACATTTAAGTTTCAAAACGCTTTACGTTGCGCATTGAAATCCCATATACTCCCCTAAGAGGCTACTTTAAGATAATACTTTCACTAAAAATTTAAAAGTATCGGACTGTATATTACGCATTATTCAAAGTTATTTCAATAATCAGATACTCTATGACATAGAAAAAGTCAGAATATAATACAAAGTCTCTGGCATGATTCCACAGCGAGCAGTTCTGGAACCGATCATGGGAACTACCTGTTAAATGCCATGCACGATGGGGTCCCGATAATAAAACTTCCCAATAAAACGATAATTGTTGAATATGCTGATATCACTGAACTTGTAGTGGTAGACAAATGATTAACCACTTGAATGCACAATTTAATGACGCAACAGCAAAAAGGCATGGCTGGTTTAAAAATGCGGGACTGGAGTTAGCGTCTCAAAGAACAAAACAACTACTGATAAGCACAAAAAAGCAGAAGATGAAAATAAAAAAATTGGTGATGTAATAATTTTCCGGTTCCTTAAAGTTCTTTTGCTGGGGTAACCTCAGCCTCTTTCAGGGATCGCTACAATAAATTTATATTTGCGGGAACAGGACTTCTCAAATGAAAGATGTTAAATTAATTTTAAACAAGGAGAGTTTATTAAAATAATTCAAATAAAAAAAAATAATATATAAGTTATGAACAATTTTCAGAAAAGAAATAGAATTTAATTTGCTTCATTGTGGTTGTGAAAAATCTTGGTGACCAGACTGATGATGCATCGTGAAGTCCTTTGAAATCTATGCCCTTTGTCTTGTACTTCTCGGTATCTGCTTTGGAAAAAATATTGATCTGTCGGCTTTGCTCTAGATCTCTTGCTGTGTGTACTCTACCCGTTTGATGGGAAAGAGATTAGCAAACAAAAAAATATATATTTGTTATGATTGCATATATATATAATAGCGTTCACGTATATGGGCCTAAAACCGCCTCAATGTGTGTAAGCAATTTTATGTATATTTCTTGTATATTATACACTAGGCTTAAAACCGCCGTTGTTTGAAGGCGATTTTGATTGATTTTATTGATTTAATGTTTTGATATATAATGCCACCGAGTAATCATACAAAACTCACTGATATCTTACAAAAATGCTCCGTCTTATTTACGAATCAGACAAGCATTTTAGTGTGGCACATACAAACGTTTTCTTGCTTGTTGGTGGTGGTTTGCTTATTTTCCCGTTTGTTACGTTTCTTGCTTTTGTTCAAGTTGTGCGCTTTGCAAATTTGTTATCTACTTTTTGCGGCGAATTTTTTTGACGTTTTTGACGTTTGCAAATGTTTGTTTACATTTTTATAAAAGCGCCGGTGCTAGTGTTTTACTCGTGTAATTATTTTTAAATATAATAATAAATTATTTATAAACAAATTATTTAAATAAATTTACGTGTATTTATTATTTTATTAAAATATATCTCTCTATTTATTATAAATTTATTTTCTCCTAATTTCAGATCACTTCAAGTGTTTTATTCAAAGTGATGGTGTTACTAAATTCATGTGGGTTGAAAATTTCTACAAAATTTCCATCCTTACAGTGGTATAAAATATTGTCATATGAAACAATAAAATGCCTAGAACACATGATCGATGTAAGACTATGGAAACAATGGATTATGCAAAAAAACAAGCCACTATTATAACAGACAAAGCGTGATTCTAACAACAGATCAAAAATTTGGCGAACGCTTGTGTTCACTTAGCGAATAGCAGCAAAGCTGGAAGCAATCTTTTCCAACAATCAAAAATAGGTGAAAAGAAAACGTGTTGGTATCTGAATGTCCCAGATATTTAACTTTAAAAAAAA